TGCACTCAATCCCACTGTCCAAGTCGCTGACATAGATGCTGAACAGCTCCAGTCCCAACACTGACCCCTGAGGAATGCTGGTCATTACTGCTCTCCACTTGGACATCGAGTCGTTGACCACAACTCTGAGTGTGGCCATCTAGCCAGTTCCTTATCACAGAGTGGTCCATCCATCAAATCCATGGCTCTCTAATTTAGAGACAAGGATGTCGTGCAGGATGGTCTCAAAGGCTTTGCACGAGTCCAGGTAGATGACATCAGTTGCCCGTCCTCTATCCACCAAGGACGTGACCCCATCACAGAAGTCCACCATATTCGTCAGGCACCATCTGCCCTTGGTGCAGCCATTTTGGCTGTCAACAGTCACCTCTTCGTTTTCCATGTGCCTTAGCACCAAATAAAAACCACCAGTGTTATCAGTACTCTTCTCAGGGCAAACCCAAAACACAGCCTCATACCAGCCACTGTGAAGAAAACCAACTCTGTCCTGACTAAAACCAGCACAAAAGCTGGTGTGAAATTACACATGCTAAAGAAACACAATGACAAGGTAATACTTAGATTCCACACTTTATTGTAGCAGGCTGATACAAACTAATAAAGGGGCAGATGTTCATTTTCTAAACAGCAGTTTCAGCTTATGTCATTGTTCCCTCAATTGCTCTTATGTCATTCCTACCCAAGTTTCCAGCTCCCATCTCCGCCAACAGAACAGCTCATGCTGAACGCTCACTGACCTGGTTTAGAAAAAGTCAATTGAAGTCAGCTTACACAGTCTGAACTAGTGTGATTTGGTCCAAAGCAGAGAAGGGACCACCGACATGAATTCAAAAGACACAGCTCTGGGTACAGTGGCATCTGGCAAACAAATGGATGAGCAGGTAGAGATGGTGAAATCATTCCAGCCAGTTTCAAAACAAACAAGCATGTTCTTGAATTAGCTTGGGCATCTAAAACATACCTGGTACACGTCTGTTTGTTTAAAAAACAAGCCAACCCTAAAGTACTTCCAATACAGTTAAACAACAAACCAGATGCTTCCACTGCAGTCACTTCTTTATAGAAGTTGAAGTTAAAAAGCAGTTTGCGGTTCATACAAGATTTGACACTGTTTGTGTAACTGATAAGAAATATGTTATCATAAATTATTTGTCTGATAAATATTTAATTATAATAAAATGTCTACATTTAAGCCATTTGTGTGAACAGAAAAAAATCTAAACATTATTTTAAATATGTGCGATTTACAGTTTCCTCCTACCACATAGCCACTCATAAAATATCGTTTATTCAGAAATACAAAATAATTTTAAAGAGAAAGGTAAACATATCGCATATTTGCATATCATTCATATTATTATTGCACCATAGGACCTTTTATTCAGAGTACATTTTGTGCCACTTGCCAGTAACAATTTCAGGATTGTGAAGAAAATTTAAGTTCTCAGTCTCTTTGGAAAGGCCAAGATCTAATAGCAGTTGTCTGACTTACCTGGAGGAATCCTCCTCTCATCAACAGGTTTATAAACATTTTTTTAAAATCAGTAAATTCATCCTGTATGTCATCACAACGGGTCCTGCAGGGCTGCCCCACCAACTCTTACTGAAGTCACTTTCAGTAACAACAGTGAAAGCTTGACCACGCTCTATATTCTTGATCTGATCTTGATCCTTTGAAACTCAGACCAATCAGTCTGTGTGTCCACTGAGAAGACAGATGTTCATCAGCTGAAATCAAGCAAGTCACCTCTTCTTTGTTATCACACAGATAACACCACCATTAAATTTGGTGTTGAATTGTTCAAGCAGGCGTCAGCCTGAGCTGCTACGGCTGGCGCACCCACAATCAACAGAGGAGATGGCACACCAAGTGCGGGAAGAGGGCAGTGAGTAAGCAGAGCATGGCACCCCAGCTAATGATTCCTGCTTTCTAGGCAGTTTGCCCAAAGGCACCTCTGATCTCATGTTCTGTTTGTTGAACAGCAGAGAATTCATGAGGCTGCTCATGACTCCAACAAAGTTCCACATGGTCAATATCAACAAAGTGCTAGCGAATTTTGATTCTCTGAATCAATTGGAAAAAAAGTATTAATCAAAAAAAAAATTGCCTCAGCTGTACCTCCTCCTCCACCTCAAACATCACGTGCTGTTGGTTTTTTGGTTGGTTGGTGCAGTTTTTTTTCCTTTCTCTTTTTTTTTTCTCCCCACAGGCATGCAATGGCTCCCAAGTGACACCTTAATCCAGCCTACCATCAATGCTAAATCAATCTGTCGTCACAAAATACTACGAAATACTTCATACAGGACATGTTGCTACACGGTCATTTAAAAAACATTTCAATTGTATGCTTGGAATTGCTCGACTTGGCCTTTTTTGACACTGACTGTGAAGTTGGTAGTCCAGACCTAAAGTAAGAAAGGAAGGAAAAAAACACCCAACCAGTAAGAAGTAAAAATATACAGTGTATAACTTTACAAGAATATTTTTAGAAACTTTATTGTTTTAAAATGAGTCATGTACTCAAGTTTCCAGAAAATCCTTACCTTTTGGTTCCTTGTGATGGATTTGTGCATTGCTGTCCTCTGCTTAAACCTCCTGAAAAGTAATTGGGAAGAAACAAAATTAACTCATTTAAAGAAAAAAGAACTCTTCAGAAATTACATAAATGGCAGAACTTCTACAAGAACAATTTTAGTCAAAGCTATTCTTTTCTTTCCTTTTCTTTTTAAATATAATTAGATTTAATCTAAAGGAGCAAATAACACTATTATCTGCAATTTGAGCAGTGTACTTCGTATTAGCACTTTTAAAAGAGAAAAACAAAAGCCAGCAGTTTACTGAGTTCCAAGGGATTAATTTGAATGTTGTATTTTTCAGAGATATTTCAGCATAATATTTTATGCTGAAATAATAATTTTTTTAATGTTTTATGATTTTCAAGGCGGTTGTTGAAAACTGTATTTTTAATTTTTTATCCTGCAGTGGGTGGGGAAAGAATCTTTGCCAACACTAAGTTTTCCATTTAAAACAAAGTTTGTTTGCACATGTCACAACACTACCGCTCATACAATTCCCCATGTAAAAGATTCTTATTTTAAGACAGGTTGAGTTCTGATAATTCTAACACACTAGGATTTTAATTCCCTTTTATAAAGCTCCCAAGCTAGGTTAGGGACAAGGTACTTCAAGCAGATACTTAACTACCTGCACATGTCCTCTAATATGGCCAAAGATTAACTCCTCCTCAGAGCGAGAAACTACTTGAGTAAACAGGCTGCTGGTTTGGCATGCTACAGCTGAGCGTACGGGATGTATTTTATTAGAGGTAAAACAGGCTTGCAAGTTCCTGCCTTTACATTTTAGTTCAACGCCTCTCTGTTTTTGCCAACACATTACATAATTCAGTTTCTATCAACTGAATCTCTGAAACAATCCAGGTTGAAGATGTTCTTGTTGATATCCAGTTAAATCTCAGTGGCCTTACAAACACCTTTCTGAACACGGCTGGGGGGTAGCAAATGTGCAACTTACAGAAATGAGCAGTAATTCCTATGGGGCAAATGAGAACGCACCATGTAGCTACCATCACACTCGTAAATCCAGTTTGTCATGAAAACTGATTTCATATTTTTAAAATAAAAATGTGCAATTTCATAAAGGCCTTCCTCAAATGAACTCGTTGCAAAAATCTCAAAGCCCTGAAAAGCTCAAAGTATACCATAACCAAATAATTTTAGTTGTACAAGCAGATAAACTGAATAATCGAACATATCCTACAGCACACACTCACCAACTCTGTTTGAGTTTTCCGTATTGGAAGTCTTAGTAGGAACATCCTTTTTGTCGGTCAGCTCCTGGATAAGGCCTTTATTTAAGCAGACATCCACATGTCTGTTAAATGACACAAGACTGGTGGTTTTCTGTTCCATATTACACACCGGACAAACAAGAACATTGTCTTCTTTCATTTCAAAGAAACAGGATGAATTGCCGCCTTCTGTACGTTCAGCCTTTTCAAAACGGCCTCCATCGTCTCGTGAAATTCTTTCGGGGAAGAAACTCTGTTTCATACACACGTTTCTAGCAATATCACCGAGACTGATAGGCTGTCTTTCTCTCTGCGATTTATCAGATACCATCTGAGTGAATTTTTCTGTGCTGTAGCTAGTACAGCTGTCAGATGTACTTGCAGACTGGTCTGTTCCTGCTAATTGATCTGTTTTATTTTTCTGACACTCATCAACATTTTCATTTTTAAATAGTGGAAGAAAGTTAAGCGTATTTTCTCTTGAATTGCTATTCTTAGTTATTTCCACAGTATCTTTAACAAGAGTCCCATTAAGACACTCATCAATATGCCTATTAAGCTCTTCCAAATTATTGCTGCTTTGCTCCTCAAAGCAAACAGGGCAGGTGAAGATCTTACACACATCAGAATTCTGCAAGTCCGTGACTTTCTTTGCTTCTTCCACAAAATTTGCTGATGATTTCCTATCATTAAAGAGCTGCTTATCTACAGTTTCATTTGGAGAAATATTCTCACTGTTTAGTTGCCTTGCAGCTCGCTTTTTATCAAAAAAACTCCCTCTGGGAAATGCTGCTGAGTTTTTTGTGAAATATTCTTCATTGGACTTCCCTGCCTGAAGCCGAAGAAGACCAATTTCTTTTCCTGATTTTAAGAAACTCTTAATGCTTTTTTGTTGGTACTTCTTCTCTTCTTCACTTAGAAATCCTGATACTCGTACACCTATGATGAAAAACAAACTTACAATACCAACTTAATGAAAACTTGACACTAATTCTTAATTAACACCTTTTAAAGTATACACTCACTCAATAAAAGTGCATTTTATCTCTAAACGGAGGCCATATTACTTGCAAGCTATAACAACAGATCACAAGGTACACGCAATTTTATCAGGCCTGAACACTTGCCCAACCGTATTATTAATTTCAATACCCATGAAGTTTTAACTGATTGCACCACAACATGAGGCTGTTATACTCAATACAGTTATACGGAATTCAGTCTGAAAGAGAGCTTTTCATGAGTACTTTTTCTCCAGTGCCGTCTAATACCATAGGCAAGTTTTATGTGTCACTGAATGGTTTAAGCAAAATGTACAGGCACCTGAAACACACAGGTCTTAGAACAAAAAAAACACAGAATTTACTTTTGACAGAAATTTTCAAATTTCTTGTGGAACACAGCATCTTCAAATCCACAAGCACTTTTATTTAAAGCATTTGTTTCTGAAAGTGGTTAAGCACAGAAACTACCTGTTGCTGTGCTGCAGAGCAGATTTAAAAGCTCTTTTAATTTGGCAGAATTAACCACTGTTATCTGTTTCTACTCTCATGCCAACATGTAGTATGGTGTTCCAGGACTAACAGGTGGTAGAAGTAGTACAGCCTCAATTAGCAAAAACATTCCTGAGTCACCATTCAGCATTCCAAACCTGTTTCAATTCACAAAAACTACCAGGGTAACAGAGAAAGGATAAATCTATTTATACTGATTTTAGAGCACAGTCTTTTACTTTAATACACTAGAATAACTAACTGAAAAGGAAGAATGAGTTTATCATATTTTACCCATAAGTCTTATCCGTAAAGGGTGAGGAGCAACGCTATCAATTTCTGTTCCTAGCAAGTCTTTAGCAACAGCAAATATTTCCTCCTCAGTAGAAACAGCAGACAGCAGAGTTGAAGCTCTTGTTTTCACTTCGAAGTTCACATTCTTTAGCTTCAAGGTAACAGTTTTACCCTAGGCCAAGAGGGGAAGGCAAGAAGAAAAGGTTAAGCCTGTCATATATGGCACAGAAACAATCTATATAAGGGCGCTAAAGCCATAGTCAAAACTGTGTGTTTATCTGTGCGCAGCAAGGGGCATTGCCAAGAATTTGTCTGCAAGGTTCTGCACTTGCTCCTGAACTGCTACCAAAGTCAAATTCTCTGAACTGGGTCATCTGGCTATGGTTCCCAGCAGACCACCTGCCACCAGTGCACGTTCAGTAGAGCTCATGCTCTAGTTACGGTCACAACTTCTACCCTGTCTACAGAAAATTATTTCCTCACTTGGAAATTTTCAGTGCCAGGTATCTTTGCTGGGAAAACGACTAAGGATGTGTAAGTGATACCCAATTAAGGATTTGCTGAAAACACCATGCAGGAGGAAGGAAGTTAGAGTCACACACAGCATATCTGGTTTTGGCACAAGTATTCCCCTGGCAACACCTTCCAGACCATTTGTGTGATGTAGTGTGTCCATCCAAATGTAAACAAATGGCATTCCTTTTTTTTCTGGTGTCTTCATAAGCTTATCCCTTTGTCCTTCTTAGGTGATGATTTCCCTTTCAACATGTCATCTTTTGAGACAATCTTTTATGGCTAAAGAAGACAAATCACAATGCTATTCCTTACTTTACCCTAAAGACTTCCACAGAAAACATGAATTGTTCATTCCAGATCATAAACAGAAATTTGGGGAAAAGGAATACGGAGACTGTTCTTACCATTCATACTAATGAATGGTATGAATAACTTGTCAGCAAGTTTGGGAGATGTGAACTTCCTAAACTGCACTACTGGCTATTGACTCGATCCTGTATAAATATAGGAGAGAAACACAGCATCTTTAATACATCAGTACACGACTGACCAACGCACAGCTCACTGACAATCAGCTCTATTATTTGTTTATAAACATTGATTTTATCAATAAAATGTTTCTATGCTAAATAACTTGGTTAATTAGTTTATTTTTTTTCTCACCCATTATTAAATAGCCACCAGAACAGTATCAAAATGCTGCCTAATTCATTCTAAGCATCTGCAAAATAAAGAATGGAGACTTCTGAATATAGGTTGCGTGGTACAATGCTGCCGAAAGCATTCACTCTAAGGCTGCATTTAGTAAGTTTGAATGCAAAGTGTTGACTTTTTGCAAGTCAACAGAGAATAATATAAATACCTTAAGTCCCTCTTTCTGTAGCTCTTGAGCAAGATCTCTGCAGAGCTCTCGACATAAGCTGTACTGGTCTTCCGCTGCGTTTATTTCACTGAATGTTCTAAGACAAAGACATGATTTTTTTTCAGTATGACTCCTGAAATTTGTTCAGTGGCTGCCATCTCACAGTATTTTTTGTACAGTTAAACAAAACTACATCAGAAGAAGATTGTACAGGTTTGAGTGTTTACTTCAATGAAAAATTAATATTAATATGAATATTATATATTTGTGCACATTTATGTGTTTCAAAACGTTTGCAAAGCCATTCAAACAAATAAATTGGCTTTCAGTTTTTCATGCACTGTTTGAAAATGTATCAAATTTGAGGTCATTAATGCTTAAATATTTTCAAGAGAGAATACTAACACCAGCTGAATTCATGGACCCAGCCAAGTTATTTGTATTTAATCTCCTTTGTAGAGTGCTGTGTAACATCAGAAGAAAGAAAGGATTAGAAAGTCAACATCAGAGCCAAGTAGCAGAAATTAATAAGGCAGATGTTAAGAAAAAGATGCCAGCTAGGATAATTACGTCTAACCTCAGAGGAAAAACTAGCTTTCTGCAAAAAACATTGCTAACTGCCTTTGCTAGAGCTTCTTCACATGGGAATTAGAGTAATTTTTTTGGTTGTGCATCTGCTTTTTAGTAATACCATGAGAGGAAAGGCAACCTTCAGTTAGCAGTGGTTTTAAGAGAAGCAGGAAGCAGAAATTACAGCTGCCAGATGCTTTTTGGAAGGTCTCACAGACCTGTTGTTTCATGCCAGGATTTATATTTACAAATGTAAAGTCCCTATAGTTCCACTGGATTTCACATCTCAAGTTACATTCATGTTTACCTGAGTGCACTGAAAATTCATCCTCCATTACGATTCACTTTCCCCTAAGAATTTTGTTAGTTTGTGTGCTGCCAAACTAACAGAATGAATATTTTACTGTGGGTCCCATGCCATTATCCAAGGAGTAACCTGGGTTAACCTGGCAATGCTGCAGTGATTTATAGCATTTCTGTGGAAGTCCTAAGTTTGGAAGGGGCAGGATAAAAGCAATGTTATTTTCAGGCCCATCTCTTCTCCCATATATACTAGTTTTATGATCTCAGCAGTCCACTGACATCTCTGGTCTAAAACTGCTTCCCTTAGGGAAAAAAGAAGGAAGAAGGAAAAGCAGAAAGGTACAATAGGCTACCCAGATTATCTGTCTGCCTGCAGACCAGCACAAGAGTACAGCAATAAATTTCTCAGCTCTGGCGGTACCAAACCTTACAGCGCTTACTTAAGCTGCTGACAATTATTACATCTCAATAGGAATAAGAATTTTTTCTTATCTTTTAAGAGAGAGAAGACATGAGAGTGCAGGTAGTTAATATGGTGCTCTACAGATTATCGTTACAGATTTCCTTTTTAAAAATGAACTTTTGGAAATTACATACACCACCTTCTTAGGGAACCTGCTGCTAGTAAAAGTTAGGAAATGTAACCAATTTAGTTAACCATGCAAAATTATTGTCTGCTTTGCATGTCTACCTTATGCTATACTTGGTATGCATGTGACTGCAGGCTACTGGACTGCTGTTGATATTAAACTGGAACACATGAAAGCAGTTCAAGGCTTTATATATCTCCACCCCATATTATGTCCTAAAGACCACTTTGATGCATGAGGGTCATTAGAAGAATCAGCAGGTGAGAAAAGAGAACACACAAACCGACAGAGGTACCTCCCTCCATAGTATTCTGAAGCCAAGGAAAAAAAAATGATGAAAGCTCAAATCCGATTTAGTGAGCTTGTTGTGTACAAATTTTAACACATAAATACACAATGAGATTGCATGACTATGAAAACTATACACTACTTGGTATTATGTATGCTTAGCCATTCATGTAATTTTTTTCAATAAGAGACATACCTTTCAGTGCTCATACTTTTTCTTTCTCCATCCCTTTAAACAGAAAAAAAATTTATTATACTCACTTTACCGATAACTTATCTTTTTCATAAACACTGAGTCAACCAGTCAGGTATCAATAACTAACAACAGTCTATGCTGTAAAATCTGGATGTTAACTTTTTCTACAAATCTTGTACATCAAGTTTAAGCGAATGTGAAATGGAGAATGTTTTTTTAAAAAAAAAACCAAACATAAACTACTGTAGGTGAAGTAAAGACATAGCTCAGTCACAGACACCAATAAACAGTTTGCAAGAAAAACCCCAACCCTCCTCCCCCAAATCTAAACAACAAAACTGCCCTCTCACATCAGAAGTCTTATTTGAAGAAGCACTGCTATTAACAAAATCCTAAACACACTACACATATTTGGGTATTTCTTATCTGAGGAATTACTTTGCTTTCTTTCTAAACTGTTGCCCATGTTAAAGGTGATGTGTTAAGGCTTTTTTTGGTTTCATTTCTTTCTTTCTGGTTTTAATTGAGCATTCTTTAAGAACTCTTCTGCATGTAAGAGTTCCCCAGAGCATTTTCTTTATACTCCAAGTACTGGAAGTAACAAATTTGGTATCCTCACATTTTCCTAAAAGAAGATGATCAAGGACAATGATCATAAGGTGAACCAACCATTTACTAAGGATATTATTGAAAAGATGTATTCAGTAGTAAAACTGGTTCCTCCTCCCCTCACACCCTGAAAGCTAAAAAGCCATTAAAACAGTATGAACCTTAAAGGAACAGACATGAAGAAGGATATAAAATCTTTGGTTCTATTACAGCAAATTCACAAGTTGATCTTACAAACATTGTACATACACATGAGAAGCAGACACAGAAAATTCACTTACTTTCATTAGAAATACGCCAATTTACCACCAGTGCAGATCAAATCCCAATGCAATTTTCATTACAATAGGATAATAATAAAATCCAATTAATGTATATCGTTGTTACAGAAGACACAGGACTGAACACCTCTGCTCAGGACAACTCATTTCTCTTTAGCTTAGCTGTTTCAGTAAATATGAGGTTATCCTAAATGATATGGACTTGATATCTTGATATACACTTATGGACAATTTCTCTGACAAGACATTTGTTATTTCATGTGTTAGACATGGCTGTACAAACTTCTGCTTTTTAACGTTTGGCTGTTGTGTGTATCTCAGCTCTAAGTATAACAATAACCGGTATCAGAGATACTTTAAAATATATAAAACAAACCAAATTTTTGTAATATTTTTCAGTAAAATGTCTTAAAATGTGCAGTGTGTAACATAAAATTTAGAAAAATATGAATGCAGGAGAAAAAACAAAACATACTTTTCCAAATGCGTTGAACCCAAACCAAGGGAAATACCCAAGAAATGCCGCCAAGATGCTTCTGAAAAAAGAAGAGAAAGCAGTGCCCTCTGCTGGTAAAGTTCCGAGCAAGTCACAATTCCAAGAGCTTTTAACATTTTCTCTGTTACTTTTCCTATACCTGGCACCTGGAAAAGAGTAAGTATCATTAAGTTGGAAACTTTCCATTTGTAGATCCAATATCAAGAACAACTTAAGTCAAACACAACTCAGCATATTAGCTAGAAAAGTGTATTTGTTCAGTAGAAATATTGCTTTTACAACACATAACATACGTTTGTAGAGGACATGTCATGGCGTCTCTTACCTTTCTAATGGGCAACTCTTTTAGGAAGTCGAGCACTGCTTGTCTCTCAGGGGTAATTCTGCACTGCCCATTAGGTTTATTACGATCACTGCACATTTTTGCTAACATTGTATTTGGCGCTATTCCTTAAAAACAAACAGACAAACAAACCCTGTATATTTAGAAAATACAAGACAATGTTTAATTTCAGCTGTCCAATATTGAAAAACACAAGGGTAGCCCACACATTTGGCAAAGACAAAACATAAGCAAAAGAATTACAATAGCTGATAACCAAATGTCTTACAGTTCTGGGGGAAAAAAAAAAGTTGTAATAGACATGTGAGAACTTAAATACGTGTGGCAGATTAAACATAACAGATGCACCACAAAATGCACCTACTATTTTAAGACAGTCAGGGTAACAAAACATGCACGAATCTGTCATGAGGGGTTACAAATACCAAGTGTTTAACAGTAACATCAGTTGCGTGACTGAACAATTTTATGATGGTGATTATGGAGAGACAAAATGTTTACAACAGCAGTTATAATGAACTCTTAATGAGAAGAAGGTATTTCTTTCTTGTATTTCAGCAAAAAGACTAAATTCATTTGGACAAAATTTTCCAAATTGAAGTCTTTTGTGGGCTACCACTGCTATGCAGTCATTCAAAAATATGTATATATTTCACCGATACTGGTAGGGATGAGGAGGGATTGTGCTTTTCTGTCAAAGTAACTGTTTTTACAAATGCACTCTGGAACTGATTTAGAAAGAAAAATAGAATTATTCTGCACTACTGCCCTAGTGGTCTAAGTTTTGATTTGCCCGCTGATACAAACATATTATGCAAGATGGGAGAAGTAATTTTATTTATTATTATCAGTATTTTTTCCAGTTACCCTTCTAACTGTTGTTCATTTTTGGGCTTAAAACCCTTGATGCACTTATAAAAGCTACGTCTGATTTCTAAACACCAACTTACCCTTAGGAAGATAAATTTCACTACAACGAAATTACTGTTTTCCTGCCATTCTTGAGCTAACACAGATGCTTCTTGATACTAGCTGTTCCTTTACCTCTGCTTCCATTCAAGACGCCCCTGACCTTCCACACCGCTTCATAAAGCTCAGCACTCCTTGATGCCTTGCTGGGTTCACAAAGTAGTTCGGATTGCACGCAAACTAACTGGCTAGGGACGTACGCTTTTTCTAGTGACCTAATCCAGACTGTTACCAAAACAGTTGAGACTTACAGGTAGGTTGCCTGAAGTCAGAAGACATAAAACTTGGATAGTAAATATTAAAAAGCTAATGAATAGTTAATAAACTCCAACACATAATTTACTTCCTTGAGAACTAACTTTTAAATTAATTTTGTTATCGTCCTAAGCAAAGAAGAGTGTGGAGAACTGTTAGAAACACTTAACAACATGGATCTGCTATTCAAACTAACAGTAATTTAGAACTAGTGACAGATGTCACTATGACAACTGGTTTATGAAAACAATACACATGAAGCACTAAAACAACCACCTGTGCTAAGATTAGCTCCTGAACGCACTGGTCAGTCTTCTACACTACTTCTACATCAAGAAGAAAGAAGCAAAAAGATGATGTAACTGTTTCTGTGATTAAAAAAACCTACCAAAATACCAAAACCAGGAGTGGCTTTGATAGCCATAGCATCCCTTGAAACACCTGAAAGTCACTTGCAGCACAAGAATGCTGTGGCAATGCTGATATATTAATTAATGCCCTCTGAGATTAGAGAAGACGACATTTTAGAAATACGAAGCATTCTTATTCATGTGTCTGAATACCTGCACTTGCAGTCAGTTGAGTTTTCTGCTCAATCCTAAAGCGAATTTCCTTCACAACTTCCTCTGCAGAAGTGCCAAAGACAACTGAATTTTCCATGGACTGATCTCTCTGTTCAGGGTGGCCATGCATCAGAGGTGTGTCGTCTTCAAACAGCACGGGTGAAGAAGCGTATCCATCTTCATTCAATTTGGCAGGCGTATCATCTTTACCTATATTAGACAGAAACACAGACACTTCTTCCATCCATGTAAAATGTGTACTTCATTATTTTCTTCTGCAGTGGCTGAAAAGAGTTCATTAGCGGGTTGGTGTTTGTTTGGTTTACTATTT